TGAGGAATAACACTCAGTCACTGGAGAAACTAATGTCTCACACTATTTTTGAGCAATTTCCTTTGGCCATTGTCAACATTGACATACTTTGAAAGTGGTTACAACCGTAACACTTCAGAGTAGGGAGAAGGTTACCACAATTCAAGGGCTTTTGAGGAGGGATCTTGGGTATTCCCACACACCAGTGCATAAAAAAAAAAAATCTAAAACTGGTTGTACAGTTGGATGACTTTTTAATAAAAATTATATAGCTGCCTGTGGGTTATATGTGCTCCTTGTGCATCAAAAAGCATGGAAGAGGCTGAAATGCACAAAAATACTCAAAAACCAGTTATAGGAATAACTACTGCAGCATGCTCTCAGATTGTCAGTGAAACCCTTGTGTTGAAAACCACACAAGGACATTAGCCACACACTACTATTGATCAGAGCCAGGCAGCTACATAGTACCTCATATCAAGATGACGGGTGACAGCACATATTTAACATGCAACAAAAAAAGGGAAGTGATGTTGCTGGGAACTGTGGGTGTTAAAAACCTCTAAATGCCAAATGGTTCTATTTGTATGCCTAAATATGGGTTTAGATGCCTGGCTTGAGGCCCCCAGGTTTGAAAATTGTGGTCATTTCCCTTAGTGCTCAATTTTGTACCACCTGGGATACACTTCCTATTTAAATATGTCCCCACTGGAGATGGGCAAACTTGTTCTCAAAAAATAGGAAGCAGACTAAACATTTTCCTTCCTATTCAGTGATGCGTTCTGTAATTACACAGAAGCACAATAGAAAGCTGGACTTTACTCCCTTGCTTTGCTGTTTTATCTCACCATTAACATGTATAATTTTACAATAATCTTTCCATTAACATTATGTGGAAGTTGGAGTTTACTCCTAGCTTTAGAAAATAGGTAATTATAGACTTAGTTTTGTTTAATGATTGAAACAACCTTGGTCTCATTGTAACTAGATAACTAAACATTTACTGCTAGTGATAAAAATAAGCTAATAAAATACACCTTACAAATAAAAACAAGGTGGATGGTCATATATCTTTTATGTGCCTTCTTTAGGCTGTGCATAAACAGAACAAACCTTTTTACTTTTTTCCCCCAATAAGTCTTCTTACCTTATTTTCTACACCTAGTGAATCATTTATAATCCTTTTTATTTTCAACCCACAGACTAATGCAGCATCAGTCATACTTCCACATGGATTTTGTTCTTTTATGTTACAGCATTACCAGAGCTTAAAGGCACAGAAATTAGACTACCATTTACATTAAACCACACACACAAAACCTTTTCAAATAACATTTCCAGCTTGACTTAATACCTTCAAAAGCAAGAAAATTCAAAGTGAAGCCTGAAACTCCATCCTTAATTCAATGTATTGTTCCAAGCTACTGCAGAATTTATGGTATAGTATATAAGATCACACAGTATTTGAAGACCCTGCAATGAAATTTCAGGTTCAGCCTTTAATTCCCTTACTTGTACTGGGTTAAGGCAGGCTCTTAAAGTTAGGCTAAATTAAACCACATATATACTTATAGTTCTTTTTGTTACAAATAAAAAATGATCACACTAGGCCTGTCACAGGGTGGCTGGCCCCTGAAGCTGAAGTAGATCCAACAACCTTTGCCAGAACAAGTGCTCCCAGTTGTGTCAGTTAAGGGGGCAGGCTGTACCTGGGGCTATAAAAGGTCAGAGAGAGACCCAGAGCTAGTCTACACCTGAAACTTAGCTATGTCACTCGAGGGTGTGAAAATTTCACACCCCTTGGAGACAGAGTTAAGCTGACCTAAGCCTCAGTGTAGACAGCACTAGGTTGACAGAAGAATTCTAGTTACCACCATTTGGAGAGGTGGATTTATTACAGCAACAGAAGAATCCCTTCCGTCACTGTAAGTATACGCCACTGTAGCATTTCTAGTACAGACATAGCACCAATGAGGGGGAATTGGCTGAAAGAGGAAGCAAGCTAGTAAACTGCTGAAAGCAGGAGTTCAGGACTGCCAGAGTCCCCTGGGAGGGGAAGTGTGTCACAAGACAGGGTTACTCCCCAGCTTGCTAAGGACTTGCTGCCATACCCACAGTCTCTTTTAGGCAGTCTTATTGTCCAAACTTAAACAAACCAGTTCCTCAGCTCACCCTTTACGTTTTGGGCTCTCACTGCCTCGTCTCTCAGGGGACTTTGGCAGTCCTGCTACTGCAGTGGAGGGCAAACTTTTTGGCCTGAGGGCCACATCTGGGTATGGAAATTGTATGGCGGGCCATGAATGCTCACAAAATTGGGGGTTGGGGTGTGAGGGCTCCGGCTGGGGGTGCGGGCTCTGGGGTGGGGCCAGAAATGAGAGATTCAGGGTGCGGGAGGGGGCTGCAGGCTGGAGGTGGAGCAGAGGGGTTTGGAGTATGGGAGGGGGCTCTGGGCTGAGGCAGGGGGTTGGGGTGTGGGAGGGGATACGGGCTCTGGGCTGGAGGTGTGGGTTCCAGGGTGGGGCCAGAAATAAGAGGTTCAGGGTGCGGGAGGGGGCTCTGGGCTGGGACACAAGGTCGGGGTGCGGGGGAGGGGGCTCCGGGCTAGGGCTGAGGGGTTCAGAGTGCAGGAGGGGGCTCTGGGCTAGGGCAGGGGATTGGGGTGTGTGTGTGGAGTGGTGAGGGCTCTGGCTGGGGGTGCAGGCTCTGGGGTGTGGCTGGGAATGAGGGGTTTGAGGTGCAGGAGGGTGCTCCGGGCTGGGGCCAAGGGGTTCAGAGGGCAGGAGGGGGATCAGGGCTGAGGCAAGGGGTTGGAGTGCGGGAGGAGGTCAGGGGTGCAGGCTCCAGGTGGCTCTGCATGCTGCCCTGTCTGCAGGCGCCGCTCCCGCAGCTCCCATTGGCCGTGGTTCCTGGCCAGTGGGAGCTGCAGAGCTTGTGCTTGGGGCGGGGACAGCACGTGGAGCCTCCTGGCTGCCCCTACGTGTAGGAGCCGGAGAGGGGACATTCTGGTGCTTCTGGGAGCCGCACGGCACGGGGCAAGCCCCTTACCCCGCTCCCCAACAGGAGCTCAAGGGCCATATTAAAAGGTCTGATGGGCCAGATGTGGCCTGTGGGCCGTAGTTAGCCCACGCCTGTGCTACTGCCTGCAGTTTTCTCTCTCGTAGCCAGTCCCCTCTCATTGTGTCTCTCTCTGACCCTTTATAGCCTCAGGTGCAGTCCTACTCCTTAATTGGCCTAACTGGGAGTACCTGTTCTGGCACAGTAGGCTGGGTCTACTTCAGTGCCCAATCCTCCTATCTCTGAAGACAATGTGAAAACTCCCTTTGACTTCAATGGGAACAAATTGGATTTCATGTATATGAGGTGACAAAGTAGATAATTTTTGCTGATTTGTGTCCATTGTAATTCATTACTATAAGCAAACACATAATTATATGTAAGAACATGGAGTTGTTGCCAAGGATTTTGCCACTTTAACTTGTTTTATATCATATAGGCCATAACGCAGATGTGTATTAATATTGATATGTGTGTTAAAATGTACTTTTAAAAATGAAATACCTCTACTTGTTCTATATTTTAATAATGCCTAAAAGGCCAGGCCTACATTACAAACCAACTGTGAAAAGGCTCACTGAAACAAAAGCATTTTGAATTGTAGGAACACCAATGATTTTGAAAATAAAAGAACAATGGGCCTGATGCTTCTTCCATTTAAGTCAATGGCAAGACTCCCATTAGACTTTAGTTTCAGGGTTCAGCAGATCAGTTTGAAGTGCTTACATTCAAAACAACACTATATCACCTCCTTTCAGGAAGAAAAACAAACAAACAAACATACAGTAGGAGATGAAATGTCACCAGATCAGAACTATGATTCTTGGTAAAACATGCATGCAGTTGAACTCCTGGTAAAGTAAAACTACAGATCTCAATTCTTTTAGGATAAAATAAGAAGCTGCATTCACCGTAACATAAGCTTAGAGGTTACACCCTGCTGTAACAACCTTGTGTGTTATAAAATACAAGGCATACGCTGAAGGTTAAAGTCCTAGGAGACAGCATAGGCTGCTTTCACCGTGATTTCTGACTAAAAAGTCTTTTGTTCTCTGTCCCAAGCTCCAAGGTTTATCATTTTATTTTTGTAATATTCACCAAGGTTTTTGCCGTGCTTTAACTACATAATGCAAATTCCTAAATATTCCTCTTTTTAAAGAAATCTCAGTAAGGAGGAAATTAATGTTAACAAGCCACATCATACCTCCTGATCAGAATGCGGAAGGTCCCCCTCTCAGGTGTGGATTGTATCCCTCCTGTGCAGATGGGACAGTCAGATACACATGGCAGGCTGGAAGGGAATGGGAGGTTCCATGTTGCAGGTTAACACCGGAGGAGGGAAACAGGGCAGTATCTGGAAAAAATATTACAACAACGTAAGTCCCAAATCATGTTGCAGCTCCACCAGACATAGAAGCAGCAGGGACAGTAGTGTAGACCACCCCTCTGCAACATCGTGGTTAAAATGCTGGTAGCTAGTGGCACTTCAACAGCCTGTTGCTATACTGGTACATGTTACAGAAATGCAGTCTTGGACAACACTTGTTTAATTTAACAAAGCAAGAAAGTATTTCTCACGTTATTTTAAAAGTAACTTTATGTCGCTGATGCCGGTGGGTGTGGAGCTAGGTCACAGGCATACACACACACACACATTCGTTCAATGGCAATGCACTTTGAGAAGAAAATGTTTTGGAGAAGGGTTGAGTGAAAAAATTATAATGGTTTCGCCTGCATAACCTGCCCCGGAAACCAGGGACTATACTGCCTAGAGGGGCAGCTGCTGTGGGTTGGAGTGTGTGTGTTTGTCCATCCGTGTACGTGCATAGCGATGTCCCAGCGCCTGTGCTTGACCAGCTGGCTGTCTGTGCACGGCCTGTGCCTGTGCTCGTTGTGCACCAAGGGGTTCCCCTAGCCCGGGAGGCGGGGCCGACCCGCCCTGTCTCCGCCCAGCCGCCCGCCCCAGGGGGACTCGCTGCCGGCCCGGGCCTAGACCGCGCGCTAGACCGGGGTTTCGCGCACCGGCTGCGGACCGAGCGCCGGGCTAGGGAGACCAGCGGCTGGCGCTGGGCCGCATGGAGCTGCTGGCGCTGCACACGCGGCGGCGGCGGCGGGGGGCGCTGCTCCCGCAGGAGCCGGGAGAACCGGAGCGCGTAAGTTCCGCACCCGGAGGGAGTAGGGCGGTGCGTACGAGTCGCCGCCGCGCCGAGGGCTCCGCGGTTTCCGGCGGCGGGCCGTGCCCCGGCGCGACTGCGGAGCACTCCTGGCTCCGCGGGCACGTTGCCAGGCCCGCAGCGCTCTTCTGCTACCCGGCAGATTCCCGAGCGGCGCTCGCAGCCGCTAACTCCTGGCTGGAGCCCCAGAGACTGAGCTAGCGCTGTAAGCTCCTAGCAGCTGCAAACCCCGCACTTCCCCCTTCCGTTTACACTACTCCCAGTTGTGCTGGGCACTACCCCTCCTTGTCCTTTCCAAAGAGCTCGCTGGCATCCACTCAGATTGGAAGCCCCCCTCACTTTTATTGATGAAAGGTAGTGGCGTCAGATGTATCAGCTTCACCTTGGGCAAATCACTTCCCCGTACCCTGACTCAGTTTCCCCAGCTGTAAAATGTGGATAATGATATTGACCTCTTTCAGCTATGAAAACGAGTTACTTACACTAAAGGGATTAGTCCACCATGGACTTTTAGGTTTCCTGCAAGTTTTGATCCGTTGTGTTGGGCCTTTGGCATACATTTGGCCCTTGACAGCCACCGAGGGATGACCCTACTGAAGACGCTGTATGTAGTATAAGTTGCTATATCCAATATTAACTATATGTTGTGCCCATTCTTGCAATCTTTGCTGAAGCAAATTTCATAGTTACAGCTCTAGTCCCACAGACACTTGTGCTTGTAACTTTACTCACATAGCTTCATGTGATCAAATTCCACATCTGCATATTTGCAGGATTGGAGCACAAATCAACAAGAAGCAATTTGTCTGTGTAAAAACTGCAGGTTTGAGTCCTTAACTCAAGAAAAGCCCTACAAAGAAAGTTTTTGTGATAGTACATGTACAGTAATGGGTATGTTCTCTAGAAATTAAATGAGTATTTGTGTTATAATACAGTCATGTTCTAATTGTTAGTTGTTGCTTAACCTTGAGTAGATATTGATATGAGAGAGAGAGTAAAGGATTGTGGATATTTTGCTCTCAAGACACTTGCAGGAGGAACAATGGAAAAGTCTCATTCATTTTGTTGTAAACGAAGTTTTGCATTGTTTAAGTAAAAGCACTATATGGTTTGAGTGATCCATTAAGGTTAATTTGAGGTTTTCCTCAAATGTAATAGGCTTTGGATAGGTTTCGTGTAAACTAAGAAGTTACTAACAATTAAAAATGTAGTGTCTTAGGTTAGAAGGATAATAAGTGGTGAACTTTCTGAACTATATGCCATTAACTATTGTAATTTGAGTTTATTTGGCTGGAGTTTTGGCTGTTGGCCCCCTAGCGTTAGTACTGAAATATTACTGAACTCTCTAGAGGCCCAACCCTGCATAACCTTCCACACCAATGCGTTCATGCAGAATTTAGCCCTAGCTAAAGTATTGAAGTATTTATTTGTTGTTAGCAAAATTAAAGTTAAAATTGAAATAGAATTACGTGTTTACTTTCACAAGTACACTGATGGTTTGGTTGGACGAACACCTAATGATGAGGATTCCACAACCGCCCTTGGAAGCCTGTTCCAGTGCTTAACTATTTTCATAGTTAGAAAGTACATTTCCTCTATATATGCAAGATCTTGCTGACCTTTTCAATAAGAAAACTGGTAAAATCTGTCATGACCTCTGTCGTCCTCCTTTCCCATTACATACAGGCTACCCATCCACCACTTCAGGTTAGTGGAACCTATTCAATGAAGAAGCAAACATAAAATGAAGCTGGAGGCAAAAATTATATAAGTCATTATGATCCCGAGCCCAACAGCAACATAATAGGCTCACTGTGAGAAAATCATCATTAAGGAAAGAAACAGGACTAACAAACTGATATTTGCTGATTGGAGGAGTTCTGAACCTCTGCTCATGTCCCAGCGTGTGCAGTCACAGGCAGCAGTCAGTATCACACAACTCCGCTAAGGGATATTTATGAACATTGATAACCATTCTGTGGTGAATCCAAAAAAGTAAAAAGCTATCAATAAATCACCATACCTAGATGTTGGTTAAGAACTGGCCGTCCCTCCCTCTGTAATACTGACTGAGCCAAGTAGACATTGCACCACTTAATATTGATTGTAAAACACCCAAGACATGGGCCTTGAGCAGGGAAAACTGTACCAGTTGAATCAAAATAGTGGCTCATAGCGCCTTCCTAGAGCCCATATGTTGCCCATAACACTAGCTCATAAATAAACCATCTGAGCCCTGTAGAATGGGAGGGCACCACACAGGTCAGCCATGAAGACAACTGGGATTGGGTATGTGTAACTCCCCTGGCTGTGTAGGCAATTAGGTCCCATAGTTCTCACAGGATGCTAGTCAACTGCACAATGGAAATGATACATCATAACCAATTATTGCCTCTTGTACTAGAAATCCATGTGTTATGTCAAGCACCCATGTATCACTGGGAGGGCATGCTATTAGTATTAGAGCAGTACACAAAATTTTGCAGACCTGTAGCACATTCCTACCAAGCAGCCAGCATGTAATATTGCTTTAAACAACGCTTCTCGTGGTGGGAGGAACATGCTATGGTTCTTATTCTCCTCTTCTTTTTGGTAGTGAAAGTTAGGAGTAGTTAGCTAAGTTAATTTGTATTGCAAATGAATATCAGGATCCATGACTGCTCATCTGCCTAAACATGAGAGAATAATCTTTAGCAGTTAAGAAAAAGGACATAGTTTGCCACCCAGACGAAGCATGTTGATGCAGATACATAGCACCCTACAGTCAGAGGAATGCAACAGGGCATACTGTAGAACAGTAATACTCAGACCTCAGTGGTTCAGGAGCCAAATTAGCAATCAGCGTTTCCCAAAGGACCACAGTTAGTGTGAATTCATATATATATATATATATTATTCTCACAGCAAAATGACTGACCAAACATTATTTTATCAGCTACAATTGGTTAATAACATAGTAAAAGCATCCCAAATGGTTAATAATTAACTCACACAGTGTTTTAATATCACATCCTGCATAGAGCCACAGGAGATACATTAAAGAGCCACTTGCAGCTCACGAGCCTCAGTCTGAGTATCACTGCTGTAAAACAAAAGTCATCTTCCAAATTACCAACTGCTACCTCACTAGCACATGTCCCCACATAAGTGCTCATATCATTTTGAGGCTTGCCGTCTTTATGAATCAAGACCCTGGGGAGAACAATTGATACAAGTATTGGCTAGACTTGTATCTACTCAACCCCCACTCAACCATCATTCACAGCTGCACCCACAAACCATGAACCATCCTGTATGTGTTACAGAAGTGGTTGTTAAACCCACAGGATGGGAACCAATGACTGCACATCCCCCAGTCCCAGGTTAACATCTGTCATAAGCCAAGAGTCATAGTGTATTAACCTACACATGACTATGACGTACATTAACACAGTTGCTTCCACAGTGCTAACGTATTTCGATGTGCGAAACCTTCCATTCACTAAAACATACACTGAACAGGCACACAGACCATTTAGATACATGCTCTCTGAAAATGTCCATAGGATGATATACTTCTTGCAGCCATGTTGCCCATGGTCAGCACAGACCTGATATGCTATTAAGTGGTTCTACATATATACTATTATTAGCCCTTACGTGGCAGACATACATGCTTCTACTGACACAGCTTTCCTCAGAATTTGTTCTGGCTTTGCAGCTTGTGATGTCCCATCTGTTTTAAAAGGGAATGTTGTATCCCGTATAGTTATTCTCTGAGTGGGTGAGGTCAGTCTGTAGACAGTTTTACTTATTTCTAAGGGTATGTCTAGACTGCCCATGTGGCATCGCTGCCGTGGCAGCACTGTGACATGGGCAGTGTAAATGCTTTATCGCCGGGGGAGAACTGTCCCGGCAATAGAAAAAACCCACCCCAAATGAGCTTTATCGGCTCCTGGCAATAAAGCGTTGTCTATACTGGCGCTTTTCAGTGCTAAAACTTTTGTTGCTCGGGGGGAAGGGGGGGGGGATTTCAAACCCCTGAATGACAAAAGTTTCAGCGCTGAAAGTGGCAGTGTAGACACAGCCTAAATGGTATTGATGAACAAATAGCCGCATTTTAGTTGGTATTCTTCCTTATTACCAGTTGGCAATACTAACAGTATTCACTTGCTACTGTCCTACTTCTGAAATGTCTCACAAGGAGAGTCTGTTAGGAGTTTATTGTTGCATTCTCAGAATAAAAGTTTTAAGCTTGAATGAGTTCATTTCTCTAACCAAATTCATTCCAGGAAGGTGTCTCTCACCTCCTAGCTTGTAAGCATTTTTCTTTATAGTGAGTGCCAGGGCATTCACTTTGGGGAAATTAACAGGAGCCTCAGGACAACTTGTGTTGGTGCTCATATGCTCTTACTCCATTGGTTGATCATGCCTGTTTGAGTGTGACATGAGCAAAAACCTATCTAGTTAGAGGCTAACCTTGTCCATCAGAGAAATACCATTTACAGGTAAGAAAATAAAAGTCTGTTAGTGAACTCTTGCTTTCAAACCCTGTCTGACTATAAGTGAGTAGAATGCATAAGAAAGAAAGAACTTCTCTTTGTTCCTTTTTGAGGTTACACAGCCAGATAATGACTTGTCCTGGCTCAGGCATTGTAGTTTGTCCATGTGCAGTGACAAATAAGTTAGAGAGACCATTTTTCAGAGAGGAGATAAAATTATCCTTTCAGATCCACATGCCAGATCCCAACTTGCATATTCTGCTCTCTCTTTCCTGTGAGAGATCCTTGCATCTAGAGAGCAAATTACTAGTCACAATCCAAAAGGAGAATTTTCCTCTAAAGGAGCAATTTAGTAGCTGCTCATGATTGCAGCACAGGTGTTCTATAAGCCAAGGAAGTGGAAACTAGTTTCTGTTTTAGACTTAAACTAATAGTAAAAGCCCTAAGATTACCACTAGTATTAATGCTGGGAAACTGGTCTTGTTTTATAATTTGCAGAGCATTGTACATAGCTCTACACTTTGTTTTTAAACAGCGAAACTCTTCCCTTTTAGGTTCCTTCTAACATGGAATCTTTGGGCCTGACTGTGGCTATTAAATTGCTGCCTACAAAGGGTGTAGTGTGCATCTACACGGTTCTAGCAGGATCTTCTGGAGGCATCATTCTTGTGGCAGTCAGTACCCTGGGGAGCCCAGAGCAAACTCAGACACTGACATCCTTTCAAAGGGCATGGTGGGCGTTCTGCTGCAGAGAAGGAAAGGTGCCATAATGCTGTCCTCTCTGGAAAGGCTAGCACCACTCTGGATACTAGCCTTCCTCATTCTTTTTACTCTAAGTGCAAAAAGCTAGTTGCTAGGTTCCTGTGCAGGGGGGAAGATTCCTTGTGTCCTCTCTTCTCTCCCTCTTGTCTCATCTTAGCCTCCCTCACACTCCTTTGCACATTATTTGTCTATATGGTTCCCTTTTCTATGTTTGAGTAATTCTTCCTGTATATTATAGGAGCTTGACTTAAGATCGAGCTCTAATTTTTGAGAGGTTCCTTATTAACTTTGTATTAATTTCCAAGTACTTTGACTTAAAGGTTAGCAAAGGGCTCAGTATTCTCTAAGACTGCACGTTGGGAGTCTGTTTTGTACATACTTGCTGTCATCCAGCTGGGACACAGGCTGAGATATACTATAAACAAAAGATAAAACAAAACAACTGCCAGTGTGGTTATTAGTATATACAGGAGAAAAATGTTTGGCAAAGAGAGAACAAATGACAATAGGAATAAGCACTTGACATTGAAGCTTCTAAGAAGATGTTATAAATCTTTCGGTGTGTGTGTGTGTATATATTTAAAATTATAAGAAAGCAGTTGACAGTCTCTCAAAACCATCTGCAATTGCATTTAGCTCAGTTAATTTTTCATATTAGTTCTTGCACCATCTGTATCACCCTTTCATGATCAGTGTATTCTACAAAGACAGGAAATAAACTTGTGGCAACTTCACCAGTACTCAAGGGGAAGAGAGATTTATCTGGAAACCTTCCCCTTTCTCCTCCAAACACTCACACATACTTTGCTCCTAAAAAGATAGGTTGGTGTGTATCTTCTCTATAGAATGATCTGTTCTTTTCTGTCTTTCCTAGGATAGAATGTGACTTGTGTTTCTTGTCTTGAGCCCTGGACCCACATTGGATATAGTGCATAAAGTGATCATTAGATTGAGTTTACCATTCCTGATAAATAAAGGGTCATTCTGATGTAATCTTGCCTAGTAGAAACTAGGCTTTCTGAACAACTGACCTGTTGGGCCTTATTAATTGTAAACTTAATAGATCTTGCATTAACTGGGTTTTGTCCACAGTCAGAATTGATTTATTGGTTTATTGTTCTTCTTCCCTGAGATGATGCTCTGCTGTCATAGAATTTCAGTATAGTTTAGCCTTCTCTGCAGCCAACCTCTCTAGAAACTTCAAGTTCTCTTGGCATCAGTATATGATTTTGTCAGCCAACTACTCTGTATGCTAAATTTCTCTCACTGATATTAAGTATCTTAAATCCAAAAAACAATACCTTGAATTTATTTTTGATAAGCCAAATTTCTTATGATGCATAGCAGTAAATCACTTTTTCCTTTTATCCTTCATCTCATACATCTTGTTAGTTATGTTGCTGTACTGGTATACCATAGCTTTTAATAAAGGACAAATTCTACAACAACAAAAGGGAAGAGGATGTTTTCCCAGTGGAGGGAAGCCTGTCTTTAGAGGACCTTCTCAGACTATGTTATTATATTATTCACTTTCTTAGTACAATACATATTTTACTTTTTGATTTACTTCCCTTACAAATATGCTTTATTCCTCAGTAGTTTTCTTGTTTCAACTGTTCTCCACTGAGGTTCCTGGCGTATTGATCCATTTTATTTTTACATAACAGGATTTTTTTATACATATTCAAATTTTAAATTTAGTTTCTATGCTTCAGGAGCCTGGTTAGTTTGCTGGCAAGTCATCTCCTGCCTATGAAGTTCTTATGCTACTGGGAGAAAAAGAATATTTCACTTGACATTCATTGTGAAGATTGACTCTGTCAATAGACAGTATTGGGATCTGCAAAGCAATCTATGCTAGTGGGCCAATATGTAACACTGATCAACACTGGGGTACAAAGAGGAAAATGTAGAATATTATACCATGATACCACATATTAAAATGTTGCTATTCCTAAAAACAAAGTTGGTTCAAAAAGATATTGGGGGAAATTTTCAAAGCTAAGTTATTTAGAAGCCTAAATCCTATTTTCAAAGGTGACTTAGAGATTCTGGAGCCTAAGTCTCATTGAAAGTCAATGGGACTTAGGATCTGGAATGCCTAAGTCATTTTTGAAAATGGGACTTAGATGCTTTTGAAATTTTTACCCATCCTCATCTTATTCTGTAAAGCCCCTCAATATAATCGGGCTATGGAAATTTTGCACACTTGAGAATTGAACTCAAGATTTTTATCTGTTACAGGCTTTCAGTATTTTTTTTTAATTGCAGTGGACTGTATTTTATGAGGACAGGTAAATATTGCTTTTTATTCTTTTAGAAACGAGTATGCAAGAGTTTAGAGACCGTTCCAAATGAGAGTGATTTTTGCCACCAATTAAATGAATGTGCTATGGATTACTGGACTATGGAGCTGGATTCTAAACAGAAAGGTACCACAGAACAATTTATTCCTCAGACTCCTAAGGAAAAGCCAAATTCAATGGTATGTTTACATCACCAACAATAACTATTTATTAGTAGAACATGTTTAAAATACATTTTATAATAAAATTGCAAATAATTGCTTTTTTTGAGAGTTTTGTGTATGTTTTTGTTAGATTTTTCAAAATCATGGAAGCAAAGGTACTGCCCAGCCTTGCCCAAGATGTATTGCAGGAGAATCTGTAAGTATATTAACCTTCTTCCTGTGACATAAAAGATAGACTTGTTCTTAAATATTAGATCCATAAAACATAAAGTTAATAAAAATCGCAATTACATTTCTCAGGAATAAAGCATGTAAATAAAAAAGGCAGATTGATTTAGTTTTTCCGAGGTATGCTAGCAGAGTACAAACTAATATGTTTCCAGCATCAGGTTGAAAATATAGAGATTGCAAACATATTTTTCAAATTCGCTCTAAAAAGCAGTTTACTGAAGTAACTGAATGCTTTTTAAAGTAAAAATAATACCTAATCTCCTCTTTTCCACTGGTATTTCTCATTAAGATAGTTAAGAAAAGAAAAGTAGAGTCCCTGAACATTTTATTCAGATTTTTAGTAGGTACCTGCTTACTATTTTTAGCTATTGTGCTGAATATATCAGCGATGGTGTAATGCTTTGGGGGTTCACACAGGCCAGTAAGGCATTCTGTCACTTCCTGCCCTGTAACCTTGGGTGCCTCTGTGCTATGCAGCTTTGGCTCAGAGTCCTGACACCTGCAACATGCTCACAGCACCATGGTCTCCCCTGGCCAGCCCAGTTACTCCTTGCAGGGTGACCCCAACAACCCTTGCAGTTCAAGTCTCCCCAAAACCATTTCCCTCTTACTGGATATTCACAGAGGTAACACCGAGTTTGCTGCCTCCAAAGAACCAGTACACACAACAGCTCGTTAGATCAGCTGGAGTTATACCCAATACCACCGTATCACCCAAACACAGATGGTATGTAGTAAAACTAAGAATATGTTTCTTAAGAAAGAGCATAGGTTTAAGTGATTTCAAGCAAGAGTGAAAGAGATATGAAAGGGTTACTAACAAAAACATCATGCTCTCTAGTGTCTAAAACTTAATTCTAGCAAAGTATAGCTTTGTCTAACAGTTTTTTTAACTCACACCAAGTTGTCAGCATTTTCCAGCCTGTTTAGCAGGACCCATCTTTCATAAATACAAAGCACTGGCTTCTTTCTTCTCTCAGCTGATGGACACCCCAAAGTTTTTCAGCAGTTCCTTATGTCTCCAAAGTTTATCTTTGTCTTCGGGGTCAGGAAGCCCTCCTAGGGACTCAGCTTTCTGTGTCCACCAGGGAGCCTGTGCCATCTTAATTTTGCAGTCCCCTCTGATTTACAATGCAAATGATCTTGATGGAATCTGCATTGCAAATGAATAGCCCAGTTGTCCTTGTCTCTGGTCACACCTGGCTTGATTTGCAGTTGAGCCAGAGGTGTTTGCCTTTCTTCTTTGTCTGGGGGTGGGGGAAACTGTTTTGCCTCCTTTGTCTGCTTACAGACTATGAAAAGTATAAGAGAGTACTCATAGTTTTAAAAACAGCATTGTAACATTTCACAGTGATATTAATGTCCAGTGTATTAATTTTCAAATGATATTACAAGACACCTTTTAAATAAATATAGTAGAACTTCAGAGTTACGAACACCAGAGTTACAAACTGACTGGTCAACCACACACCTCATTTCGACCCGAAGTATACAGTCAGGCAGCGGCAGAGAGAGAGACACAAAAAAGGCAAATACATACAGTACTATGTTAAATGTAAACTACTAAAAAAAAAATAAAGGCAAAGTTTAAAAAAAAATTGACAAGGTAAAGAAACTGTTTCTGTGCTTGTTTCATTTAAATTAAGATGGCTAAAAGCAGCATTTTTCTTCTGCATAGTAAAGTTTCAAGTCAATATTCAGTTGTAAACTTTTGAAAGATCAACCATACTATTTTGTTCAGACTTATGAACATTTCAGAGTTACAAACCACCTCCATTCGAGGTGTTGGTAACTCTGAGGTTCTCCTATAGCACGACAACAGTGTGAGAAATGTACTGTTACATACGAGGGAGGCCCTAGCCATCTAGCATTGGGGTGCTCTTAGGGTCACAGATGGGCAAAAGAGGAAGTGCTGTCTCTACAGTGTCATTTCCTACCAGATCCCTCAGGAGATTTACCATGCATTGGACATCCACACACCAAGCTTACAGGGAAGTCCCTAAAAATGTATTACTCTGAGAGTTACTATTACATTTTGTTTGCACTCTCTGCTGTTGAATCCATCCAAGCAGAGTTCCACAAGAGCAGCCAGCAGGAGAATGGGAGGGATATGTAAATGGAGTCTTAGTCAGTCAATCTTGAGGAGAAGGTTGAACATCTAGGGCAGTGACACTCAGGCCTGGGCTACACTAGGGGGAGGGTTCGAACTAAGATACACAACTTCAGCTACGCTATTCGCGTAGCTGAAGTTGAAGTATCTTAGTTCAACTTACCTGGCCGTCCTCACGAGGTGGAGTACAGGCATCAATTCGGGGATCGATTTATCGCGTCTAGACCGATCCGGCGGGTAGTATAGACGTACCCTCAGACTGAGACTCGAGAGTGGCTCTTCAATGTGTCTCCTGGGGCTCTTTGCAGCACATGATATTAAAACACTGTGTGATTTAGTTATTAACCAATCAGGATGCTTTTACTATGTTATTAACCAATTGTAGTTGATAAAATAATAATACTTGATCAGTCATTTTGCTGTGAGAATTATATAGATAAACTAAATATTTCCCATCATACTGTTTAAATATGAATATATCATACTATAGTAAATGAAACAATGAATTCACACTGCTTTGGCTATTTTGGGTAATGTTGATCGCTAACTTGGCGCTTGAACCACTAAGGTCTGAGTACACTGCTCTACAGCCAAAATGCTTCTGAAATAAATGTAGTCAAACTTTACTAATTCTGGGTCACTGAGAACGAAAATGATGCTTAAAATTGTTGATTGGCTCTAGTTTTCAAGATATGCTATTGGGTCAGTATATACAACCCTTGACTTGGGAATGGCGGAGGATAAGTGAGTTATAAAGGGAAGGGATCTCAATTTAAACCAGAAATGACTAAAATACATCTTTGACTGGATCTATGAATAAATCTATGACTGGGTTTGGACAGTACTTGCTTTTTAGGCAAAACAATGAATGATGCAATCTGAAGCTGGTATTGCATCATACATGATATGAATTGCATCATGTTATTCCTAGAAGTCATGGATGATGCAATCATAACAAAGCTTACATCACTCTGCTGAACAAATTGCCCTATATCAGCTCTAGAAATCATACAGTGTCGTGCTCTCTTATTTGTCAGTGTTTGATTTTGCAAAGGGACACATTTCTGTTTAGCCAGAGTGAGCAGAGATGCCTCATACTTGTGTGAACAGTGCAGATAACTTCTGCTATGTTTGTGGTGAAGTGACTTTTGCATCACAAAAACGCAGTATAACCACTATGGTTAAGAAAGCCTATCACCTTTATTTTGGCTGCAAAATTGGAGATCAGGACAAGAGGTGGGCCCCACACATATGCTGCAACACTTGTGCAACAAATCTTCGCCAGTGGTTGAACAGGAAAAGGAAATCTATGCCTTTTGCAGTGCCAATGATTTGGAGAGAGCCAACAGATCATACCAGCAATTGTTACTTCTGCATGGTGCCTCCAGTTGGGAAAGGTGTGTCAAAGAAGAAAAAGTGGACTGTGCATTATCCAAATATTCCATCAGCTATACGCCCAGTACCCCACGGAGAAGGACTGCCGGTTCCTGATGCACCAGAATCATTCTCACTTGAGTCAGACGAGGAAGAGGATGAAACTTCTGGTCCTGAACCATCAATGTCACAGGACCCACATTTTCTCCCATCCTCCTCCTCTGAACCACACCTCATAACACAAAGTGAACTGAATGACCTTGTCAGGGATTTGGAACTACCCAAGAGTAAGGCAGAGCTGTTGGGCTCCAGACTACAGCAGTGGAATCTCCTGGCAAGTGATGTTAGGGTTTCCATGTTCCGTGACCGTCAAAAGGATCTTGTCCCATTCTTCTTCATGGAAGGTGATCTTGTAGCCTGCAACAACGTCGATGGTGTGATGGCAGCTCTCAACATCGTTCACGATCCAGATGAGTGGAGACTGTTCATTGATTCATCGAAGACGAGTCTTAAAGCTGTTTTACTGCATAATGGCAATGTTTTGCCATCAATTCCAGTTGGTCATGCAGTCCATATGAAGGAAACCTATGACAACATGAAACAACTTTTGAGGTGCATAAACTATGACCAACATCAGTGGCAGCTTTGTGGCGATTTGAAGGTTGTTGCTCTCTTGCTTGGTCTGCAGACTGGATACACAAAGTACTGCTGTTTTCTCTGCGAATGGGATAGTCGTGCAAGAGATTCCCACTACATCAAGAAAGATTGGCCACTCCAACAGTCATTGGAGCCTGGGAGGAAAAGTGTTCAGCATCCACCACTTGTTGAATCAAGGAAGATTTTGTTATCACCCTTACACATCAAGCTGGGTCTGATGAACTTTGTCAAGGCCATTGGCAAAACACAAGCAGCTTTCAAGTACCTCCGTGGAAAATTTCCAAGGTTAAGTGAAGCTAAGATAAAGGAAGGTGTCTTTGTTGGTCCTCAGATTCGTGAACTTCTTTGAGATAATGCATTTGACCATGCACTGCGTGGCAAGGAAAAGACGGCATGAAAAGCCTTCCAGTTAGTGGCAATAAATTTTCTCGGAAACAACAAGGCAGACAACTACAGGTTGGTGGTGGAAAACCTCCTCAAGGCATACAAAAGCCTTGGTTGCAACATGTCACTAAAGATACATTTTTTGCACTCTCATCTAGATTTTTTTCCACCGAACTGCGGAGCAGTGAGCGACGAGCACGGCGAGTGATTTCACCAGGACATTGCAACAATGGAGAAACGCTATCAGGGCAAATGTAGCCCATCAATGCTTGCAGACTATTGCTGGACAGTGACAAGAGATGCTCCATTTAATGAATACAAGAGATAAGCCAAGAAGCGCCGAGTAGACACTGAATAGGACTAAACTATGTACATAGTAGTTTTTTGCCTTTTGTTTCATAATAAATTTTATTTATATAACCCTTTTGCTGATTTTTAAAGTGTTACATAAACAGGACAGGTGAAATATTATCATGTAAAGCAACCATAAACACATGAAAAGACCTAGGTTTACAATTTATGATTAAAACTCTACTATCTACACAATATACATAGACGTAAACTGTAAAAACTTAAATATCTTAGAAACAGTAGCCAATCAATTGTTTTAATTGTCATATTTGAATTCAGCACATCAAAATACATAATAAATAGCACATTTTATCTCTGAAGCAGACGACTTCTCAAAAATTGTAGACCAGTGGTATCACTGATCTAGGGTGAAATCCTGGACCCAGCTAAATCAGTGGCAAAACTGCTGTTGACTTCAATAGGGCCAGGATTCCATGCCTAGAGTCAAAAGTTGCAACATTAGTTGTCAACATTGGATTAAGCTTTAATCACCTTTTTAAAATAATTAAATAAAAGAAGCCTGTTATAGATCTCAGTCCAATGAGGAACAAGCATCTCCTGTAGGGCACAGATTTTTAAAGGTATGTAGGCACCTAAAGGTGCATCAAATTCCTACTGGGATTTTCAAAAGCACATAGGTATCTAACTTCTGTTGATTTCAATGTGAGTTAGGCAGGTAGGCACCTTTAAAAATCCCAATAGGCACCACTGCATATCTGTAGACACCTAAATATCTTTAAAAATCTGCCCTTGACTATCTTCCCCTCCCACTGAAGTCACTGAAAATTGAAGAATCTGTTCTATTAATCAGCTTGAATTATCAAGTTTTGTAAGCTTTTGTTGTGAACATATTGCCTGTTCTTTCTCGACATGCAAACTGTAAAGTGCATCCTTGGATCAAAACCCAAATTGTTTTAGAATGTTACTTCCATTTTAGAGAAGTCACTCTTTGACCTCTAACTTTTTTAAATGGTTTTCAGAATTACAAGTGCCAGCATTAGTGTTAATAAGATTCTTCAGTTTTAATGTGAAACTAATTTTTGATGAATTACACAGTTGCAAATTAGTACTGGAATACATTATACCCAGCTTTAGGTAATATTTGTGTATACCTCTTAATTTCAAATAACAATTTCTATTTTGGCAGTAGTATTAGAAATGCAGTAGTCTTGTGCTTCTCTTCATTACATTTTACATCAGTAAATGTAAGAACAAATTTATGAGCCCCAAAAAAACCTTGCCAGGTAAAATTCAGCCCTTGTGTAAGTGGTTGCATCTATGAAAGGCTAATACCATGGATGATCTGTTCATGTTGCTCTTAAATTTAGAGCATTCAGTAGACATATCTGATAGTGGAAAAGAGAGTTTTCTTTATCCTAGTCTATTCTTAATAGCTCTAGTTTTCCTATATAGAAACACCACAATTCCAAAACGGAAGATTTATTTCCCACCGTATATTTCAGCTTGCAAAACATAAGAATTTCAAATTATAGCTTTACAGGGCTTCTCTTTTACTCTTCTAGGTAAGTTTGCCCACCCCAGAATGGATAAATACTTTTCCTAGTTAAAGCAGAGCAATTTTAAAATGTCTGGATCAAGTGAAACTATAATGTCTTCAATGTGCCATGAGGCGATTAGGAACAAAAGCATTAGTCCATGCTTGATACAGGAGATCATATTGTCAGTGGAGGCAGAGGTCAAGGATTAAAATGTAATGGGTTTGACATGGATTACTTAAAGATCAGCATGTATAGTATGACTCCCTCATTACGTCCTGTTTGACTAATTAGCTACTTCTGGCCAATATCATAAGAGAAGAAAATACACATATTTTGATCAATTGATCAGGAACCAAATTGGTACATAATTTTCATTCACAAAACAATTTTAAATTGCAGTGTATCAGACTACAGTATAAAGCCTAGCAAAGGTGTTACTAGCTCAGCTAACTAGTAACTTTCTGCAAGTTCAAATTTCACCTTAAAAGATTTAAAGGATTGTCATTCACGGAGATCCAATTTTGATACCTTTCAAAATAATTACTCTGGAAATATCGCTCCAATATCTGGCTGTAACAAGGAGGAGCCCAGATGTGGGAAGAGATAAAGCATGGCTCTATTGATTTTACAAGGAATAACATAAGATATGTTAAAGTCACATAAGAAGCTGTACAGTCTACAGTTAAAGCGGAGTACAAATGAATTAAAGTAAAATATGGCAGCTAGATTGGGGTAAATCAGACACAAAGCCTAATGGGCTGAGACAGCCCTTTTGTGGTTGTGGTTAGTGGTGGACCTTTTATAAGCACTGTGTTTTGCACTGGGAAATCCTGATTTTATGCAGTTTATGGGGAATGTAAAGAACTTGACTAACATCAGCAATTCATGAATACTTCCACTTTTAGGTCTGCACTTAAAAGTGTAGAGAGGACAGGATTCAAGCTTAAACTGGTTAGTCAATATAGGAAGGGGCAAGGTAAAAATTATATTTAAATACTGTGCTGTGAAAAAAATGCAACTCTATTAAACCAGTACTGGGGGTGGGGTGAGGAGAAGTTTTTATTTCAACAGTTACTACTTTTAAGCATTCTCTGGACCAGATTTTGAATGTGAGAGAAGGGAGGCGGGGTGGGAATGCACAGGTGAAAAATGTTTTGAGATAAATTTCCAATCTTGTTTGAATTACTTTTAAGAAAAATCCTTTATATTAGGCTACACAGTGTGAGAGGGTCATTTTTGTTCGATCTGTGTGTAAAATATGTACCCACAAATAGTTTATTTAGTCATGTAAAAATGTATACATAAAAATGCACAAGATAATTTAAAATAAGTCCCCAGCGAGAAAATAAAACCTTATCCCACTTGGACTGTGCTAATATATTTTATATTTAATCAAAAGAGAATGATTTCTAACATGCTAACAGTTACCAATGAGATGTTAAAATTGTCGGTATATTGTATGCAATTCTGTTGTATACTTTTTTGCATGCATAACATTTTAACCTGACATATGAAAGTCTTATCCAAAATAGAACCATGTTACCAATAAAAATTACATTGAAAAACTTCCTTGATTATCCATTGTCCACTAAGTCATTCAGATGATCAAGGTATGATGCTTTTAGTTGTACACTGTCTATTTCTCTTTGACCAAAGAGTTTCATTGCACAATGACAAAAATGCTGCACCAATTTTAAATTAGGTTTTGTTTTGTGACGTGTGAAACTTTGTCATTTCAGGGACACTTCAACCATATTATGGGCTTCTAGAAGAAGAGAGCCTGCAAAGCAGCAATGTTCAGTTTCTGTTTTTAAAACGTAAGAACATGCATGTGTAAATGCCGTACAGCTGGATTTCTGTACACACTCATTCAATTAATGTGGATCTAGATTTGTTATACATTATGTAAGATTTTGTGCGTTATGTTGTATTTTTAATACAAAAATCCATATTCCTTTGTTTTTATAGTTTAACAAGTTATTAGTTCAAATAACTTCCATCTTGATCCTTCCTTCCTACTCCCTCCCCAAGGCCCTTCACGCAGGCTAGTATTTCATTCAGACATAGGTCTTTTTAGTAGTGGGTAAAGAAAGTCATGAAAGTAGGTCTGATTTTGCTTTGTTATAGGAGTTTAGTTAGCACAGTGTTGGTCCAATCCTGCAAATCCTTAGTCCTCTTGCTCCACTTTCTGTTCCTTTTGGGCACCTACTGGGACACTGGTAGTGACCATCCTTATGCTCAGATGAGAACAGGGACTGCATTTGTGGCCGAGCTTTTTCTAGAAGCCCGTACAGAGTGACAAAGCAGAGGTTCTCTTTACACACACACACACACACACACACCAAAAACATATCCCCCATCCATTTTTAAGAACTTTCCACTTATTTATAAATGAACACAGTTTTACACACACACCTATCTCTGAAAGAGAAATATTATTTTTGCAACATTCCAGCATGTGAAATTGAATGGTAGCACCTGTGCTATGCAGTTCCCTGTTCAAAGCTGCCAAGGACACAACCAGTTTGCCACTGCTTGACTCTAGTAGGGAAGACTCACTTGTTATCCAGTTGTTGGTTTGGTTGCTGGATCTTGGCCACTGCTGAAATTGTTTGAACATTATTTTAAATCTCCATTTCTTGGCAGTATTAATTATTTACATTTCATTTTTATCATATGTATTATATTAAAGTTTTCAGGCAACCTAACATAGGGCTCAATAATGACAGCAGAGTGAGGATGAGGGGTGGATGCACTGTCCCAAGGGTTGATCTGAGAGGAATTCACTAGTAGAAGGTTCTGGAGCAGAGGAGGTATAGCCAGCATATTGGGCTCCTGCGTGGGAGGCTGATGGACATATGGCCCAAACTCTTAACTCTCTTTTGCTGTGTCATACCCCAGAAGGTGCACACAGAGAAATCTCTGAGCTACAGTTGCCTCGCTGCTGCTCAAGGGAGGGCTTCCTTTAAGCAGCCAGTCAAACAGTTTAGCCCAAAACAAAGATTATGGGCCAGATCTTTCACTCTAGTTAACCTATGATCAACACAGGACCCGACGAGGCAGTAGGGCAGAGTTGGCATTCGAACAATATTCTGCCTCCGCAGTTCTGGGAGCATCCAGGGACAAGTTCAACTCCCAGAGCAACTTAGAACTGCAGCCCTGAAGCCCAGGCTTACACCAGGCTGGTATTAGCCCTCTAAGGGCTAGTATACAGCCAGGGATTGACGGGGCACAAGACATTCAAGCCAAGTCCCCTTCAACCTGCTAGAATGCCCTTTGTGTTGGGTGGAGGTAGAAGGAGCAGGTGGTGTAGGGCTGGCTGTTTCTTAAAAATATATTAATCTTAAATAAATTGATACCACATTGATGGACAGACGCCATCTAAAGAGCAAAGGCAGACAGGCAATAAGCATGACTAGGCATGAGTTTCTCTGCAATAATAGTACAAGTAGATGGTCGAAGGTACAAAGGCATCTGAAAGTTCAGTTATTGCACAATGACTCAAACCCTCTTGTGTTTTATTAAGTAAGGTCTGGTCCACTCCTAAAATTTATGTCTATCTAGCGATATCACTCCTGGGGTGTGAAAAATTCACACCCCTTAGAGATGTAGTTAAGCCAGTTAATTTCCCCGTGTAGAAACCACTAGGTCAATGAAGGAATTCTTCCATCAACCTGGCTGCCGCCTCTCAAGGGGTCGCCTCTCTACAACTATTGAAAAACCCATTACCTCACTGTAGCAAGTGTCTACACTTTCGTGCTACTGCAGCACAGCTGCAGAACCATAGCTGTGCCACTACAGCACCAATAGTGTAGATAAGCCCTAAATGTAATCATGGGTATAACAATGTATAGCTAAAGAAAAGATAGGGCTAAAACAACATGTAACCAAGGAAGAGACGGGGCAAAAGCAGACTTGACTCTCCTCAGGAATGAGTTTGTGCCAGTATATATTATAGCAATAGCGTGTCACCAGTTTTAAAACATTGGAAGATACGTCCTTATGTATTATCAATTTGGAGAGATGCTCATTTGAATTCTTTCAGTGAATTATTGATAACGTCCATGCACATTTCTTCTGTTTGGCCTAAACTGTTGATCTTTAATTAATTCTGTTATGAGATGTGGCAAAAATGAAGGTCCAAGTATTGTTCACTGTGCCCTTCATAATTTTTATATCATGTTCCCGCTAACTCTTCTCCCTTCAGGCTATACAATACTTGGTTTTTGTAATATCTCACCTTACAGAAATCACAAGGATTGGTCCCAGTCCTTGGCTGTATTACAGAGGGTTGATTAAGTTATACTAGGGTTTGATTATAATGGGTTTTTTATCATTGCTGCTGCACAGTGGGAAGGTATTTCATTATGTTATCCACAATGACTCCCAAGACTTCATCCTTGGACTATACTATACCTGTTGAGCCCAACAACATGAGAATTTTAGATTGTTCTTACCACTCTTGCTTGTAACACGAGCATGGGCCTGTTTCACCACTGCCCTGCATCTTGTGTGGTCACTTACAACAGAGCAGAGGAATAATATGCTAGCAAATCAGACTGGTCGCATTTTACATCTCTTTGCACTGTCTCGTCCTTTAGTGTTTCAGCGATAGTGTTATTCATTTGAATAGACTTATATGTACTGAACATCTAAGTGCTACAGTTCAGAAAGTAAATGGGATAAAATCATAAAAACTGTACACAAATTTCAGAATAGGTTGTAACAAAAATAGTTAACATACAGTTAACTTTTGCACTGTCTAGCAACAGTATGAGATGTCTGTATTTAGGAGCAATACTAGGGCTGTCAATTAATCGCAGTTAACTCATGCGATTAACTCAAAAATATTTTTTTAATCACGACTAATCACAGTTTTAATTGCATTGTTAAACAATAGAATACCAATTCAAATTTATTACATATTTTTGGATGTTTTTCTACATTTTCAAATATAATGATTTAAATTACAACACCGAATACAACGTGTACAGTACTCGCTTTATATTATTTTTATTACAAATATTTGCACTGTAAAAATGATAAAATAAATCATATTTTTCAGTTCACCTCATACAAGTACTGTAATGCAATCTCTTTATTGTGAAAGTGCAACTTATAAATGTAAATTTTTTTTTTACATAATTTCACTCAAAAACAAAACAATGTAAAACTCTAGAGCCTACAAGTCCACTCAATCCTACTTATTCAACCAATTGCTAAGACAAATAAGTTTGTTTACCTTTATGGGAGATAATGCTGCCCTCTTCTTATTTACAGTGTCACCTGAAAGTGAGAACAGGCGTTCGCATGGCACTTTTGTAGCCAGCATTACAAGGTATTTACATGCCAGATATGCTAAACATTCGTATGCCCCTTCATGCTTCGGCCACCATTCCAGAGGTCATGCTTCCATGGTGATGCTGCTCATTAAAAAAATAATGCATTAATTACATTTTGACTGAACTTCTTGGGGGAGAATAGTGTCTCCTGCTCTGTTTTACCCGCATTCTGCCATATATTTCATATTATAGCAGTCTCAGATGATGACCTAACACACGTTGTTCTTTTAAGAACTCTTTCATTGCAGATTTGACAAAACCCAAAGAAGGTACCAATGTGAGATTTCTAAAGATAGCTACAGCACTTGACCCAAGGTTTAAGAATCTGAAGTGCCTTCCAAAATCTGAGAAGGACGAGGTGTGGCACATACTTTCAGAAGTTTTAAAAAAGCAACACTCTGATGCAGAAACTACAGGACCTGAACCACCAAAAAAGAAAATCAACCCTCTTCTGGTGGCATCTGACTCAGATGATGAAAGTGAACATGCATTGGTCTGCACTGCTTTGGATCGTTATTGAGCAGAATCTGTCATCAGCATGGACGCATGTCCTCTGGAATAGTGGTTGAAGATGAAGGGACATATTAATCTTTAGCGCATCTGGCATGTAAATATCTTGTGACACCGGCTACAGCAGTTCCATGCGAATGTCTGTTCTCAGTTTCAGGTGACATTGTAAACAAGAAGCGGGCAGCATTATCTCCTGAAAATGTAAACAAACTTGTTTGTCTGAGTGACTGGCTGAACAAGAAGTAGGACTGAATGGACTTGTAGGGTCTAAAGTTTTACATTGTTTTATTTTTGAATGCAGTTATTTTTTGTAAATAATTCTACATTTGTAAGTTCAACTTTCATGATAAAGAGATTGCATTACAGTACTTGTATGAGGTGAACTGAAAAATACTTTTTTTTTTGTTTTTTACAGCCCAAATATTTGTGATAAAAAAATTAATATAAAGTGAGCAGTGTACACTGTGTTCTGTGTTTTAATTGAAATCAATATATTTTAAAATGTAGAAAACATCCAAAAATATTTAAATAAATGGTATTCTATTATAGTTTAACAGTGCAATTAATCACGATTATTTTTTAATCATGCGATTAATCGCGATTAATTTTTTTAATCGCTTGACAGCCCTAAACAGTATTATAAAACTGTTGAAGAAAAAGCTCACCTAGCTAAGTGATGACAATTATGAACTGATCTAATCTACTATGCTTTAACAAATTAGAGAATGAAGTCCTTCCAGCCTATTTCAACCCTCTCCTGCCACTGTGAGTTTTCAAATAGTGTTGTGTAAACCAGTTGCCTCTACCAGTTCACGTAATACATATGATTGTTGTAAAATACAGAATAGTTGTATAAAGCAGAATATAGTGTTCCCTTCTGTTCCTCAGAGAAGGGCCCATTAAGACTTGCTTAGATCTTGCCACTTAGACCTTGCCTGCTTAGACCTTGCCACTTCTTCATGAATGAGGAATGTCATTTTAACTTTCGCATCCTCCCCTCTTACTTTTCCATGCCAATTTTCTCTAGTCCTTTGAACACCGTACGTTATTACTGTGCTTTAGTTCTGGATATCACCTAATTCTCTTGCCTCTTAAGTAAACCTTGAGACCTGAGATTACAATTTGCACTGAAATTATAGGTCATTTCAGATCTGCATTTTTAGTCACCTTGTAACTCTGATACTTCCACCTTTTTTCAGGGTCTACAAAACAAACAGAAAAAATTTGTCAACCATTCCTCTGATGCTAATCTACAGTCTTGCTACTTTTGATTAGCATTGGTGGCTTTACTGTACATGAAGTAGGTTCTTCAGTAATCAAGGTTTTATCAAAATTACTTCTCAGATTAATTCACATTGTGAAAGTACATTCATCCTAATTTGTAATGGCATCTACTAGCAATCCTCTTAATACTTTTTTTCTTAATGTAGTTTACAGTAAAATATTGAAAAGCTTCTGGGATGTAAAATTATAAGAGGAAGGTATGC